ATATACGCTCACGTTATGCAAGTTACACGTTCCCGCCTTGAGTTACAATGTGGAGAACGAGCGCGCGCTCGCACGTTCATTTCTTTTCCTCACGAAAAAATTGAGCGTAATATGGCAACCGTGATACTCCGGAATTCTTTTTAATCCTCGGAGCAGCTCTCTAATTCAACTCGGGAGGATATTTATTCTACGGAATCTGACTACTATGTAACTTAATCTCGCGCACCAACATCGCCGCTCGCGCTGAAGGGTGGATTGCAGTTCGCGGATCTTAAAAACTGAAGGCTCCAAAGTCGAGAATTAATTTTTCGCCCCACGACGTGACACGAAGATTCAAGTGCTCTCCTTAAAAAAGCAATGCACCTCTCTTGTGTTCTCGTTAATTTATACGTTTTATAAATAGGGGAAATGGAAGGGTAAAGTGACGATTTTAAGGTTCATCGATTTTTCTTAATTTCTGTAGTAACGTAAAAATAACGAACACTTTTTTCTGAACAGCTAAAGCTTTGCCTATCATTTGCATAAATTTGTAAAATAGATTAATTGGAGTTTTGTTTAATTTAAAATTTTTTAATATGTGTAAATTTCGTCATCTTGCCCTTGTATATGGGTAAAATGACGAAGGTTAAAAATAAATTTTTTTATACGTGCATAAAATAATTTTCATAAACTTTTATATTTGTTATCATAATATTTATGCAATATAATAAAGTGCAAATAATATAAAACGTAAGTGAAAATATTATTTACGAACAAAAAATATTTGTGACGATGCAACTTAGAGAAATCTAGACGACAAAAATAAAAACAATTATATATAATTATATTATTTTTTAAATAAAATGTACGAATACGTCATCTTGCCCGCACGTAACATTCACACATGATATTATTTCTTACTTTACACTCGCTATGTATATTTATTCTATTAAAAATATATTGCAATTTATAAATATATTATATAACAACTTTATAGAGAAAATATATGAAAATATTTACTGTTATTGTTATATAATTCTTCATAAAGAAATACTACGAATTACATATGGGGATGTTATAACTAAAATATATTTTTTATTATATTATCTACTGTCGTTGATAAATTACAGTCAAACTAAACAAGTTTTATTATCATTAAAAACCTAATGTAAGTTAAAGGCACCGTCATTTATTATTAACTTAGAAATATCAGCAAATCGTCATCTTACTTACCTATTTCGTTATCTCACCCCTTAACCTCATTTCGAACGTATGCTTTCGTGTTAGACGTCCCTTATCAGACTACGCATTGAAGATCAAGATTGAATTGAAATTTGGCCAATCAGAGCAAAGTTCAGTAAACTTCATTAAACTCAAGTTTAGTGAACTTTGCTCTAATTGGCCAAATTTCAACCTTAATCTCTGATGCGTAGTCTGATAGAGGCCTTATGTGGGTTTTCTCTCCGACGTGAAAGACACAGGAACGTCGGCGGGAGCGATCGGCGAATCGAATCGCGCAAGATGAATCTACGTTCGGAGCGGATGTTTCGAAGCGAGCAGCTTCTCATTCCGGAACGTGTTCGTTCGAGCCACGGCGTAATGACACGTTCACAAAAGCGGAACGCGCGAAAGTGCCGGAAACGGGCTTATATCATCCGGCCGAACCGGTTCGTCTATCGGGTGCGCGCGATTCTCCCGAAAAAATCCATCAGGAACTCAGCGGCGCGATGTAATCACGGCAATTAGCATCTCGTTACCATCGTGCCCGGTTCACTCCTGTCGAGTGGAAAAATGGACGGCGGCTCGTGGGGGAAAGGCGGTGATGGGGCGAGCTTCCGCGCTTATCCGCGCTTTCCGACGTTCTCGCGTGATTAAAAGTTTCGAGAGAGCCCGGCCTCACGTTGCGAAATAGCGCGTTTGCGTGCTTAAATACCGACAAGACGCCGCCAATCTTTTCTTCTCGCGTCTTCACCGACGAGCTTCACCAGCGCGAGATCCTGAGCTGATGCAATCGTCGTCTCTGGATGGTATTCTGTGAGGATTATTACGTCACCTCGTGCAAATATAGCGATTAGTTAATTATATTCTAGTTGCGCCATCATCGAATCATCAGGCGGTCACGTCGGCGATCAAATTGTCGATGTTGTTCAAATGTATACGAGTACACGTGTTGACTGTAATGAAGCGACATATACTTCGGTTGGTAGTTTCGTTTCCCGTTCGGTCGCAATTATTGATTTCAGTATAAGCAAACGGTGACTGCTGATGTAATTCCTCGCTAATGTCTAATGACCGTCGATAACGTTGAAGATACTGTATTCGATACGGCGAATTGAAGAAGTGGTATTCGCGAAAAAAGCGAATGAAGCGCGACGTATGCGTGGCTGTACGTCGCTTGATTATACATCGAACGATTATGCACTTTTAGAGCGAGACTCGTTAATTAAAAATCCTTGCTGCGGGCTGTCGGATGGCCGATCGCGAAAGTACTTGAGAAAGAAACTTTTATTAATTAATTAAAAAGCCGTATGAAAAGGATCCCGTAAAAATGTAGTTGGGACCAATTATCCGTGGACGCTAAATATATCATCGTTCATTATGATATTAATTAAATTAAAGGATTGATTTATTTAGTTTTAAGAGAAAATAGATCAATTTTTCTCTTTGTTCTTCGGAAGATCTCCGTAAGGAGGAGAATAAAAGTCGTGAAATATAAATTCTTACAAATAATGCAGAAGATATATGAGATAAATGAAGGAAAAGAGGAAGGAGAGAAATCACTAATACGTTTGCAGTGTCTGCATATAGGTGTTTTAAGATCAATGTTTTTGAATTTTCTCATTTTCTCTCGATTTCTTTGACAATTTCTCGCACTCACTGAAACCTCGAATGGAAAAATTAATTCCGTTCGCGTTGGTTGTCGATTGTTGACGATGTATTTACCGGGCCCGATCCAGTGCGATGTTTTAATGAATTCTGTAATGTCATGCCGTGCAGGAAATTCACGAGATTGAATTTCCGAGGAAAGTGGCTCTCGCGCAAAATGCAGGCGGAATACCGTCGTTAATATACGGAGTGCTCCATTTAAATGGCACACCTAAATATCCCCGTCGGTTGCGAAGAGATCCTTTAATTAAAATTCGTTCGAGGCCGTGCAAATATAAGGCGATGAGAAAAAGTGGACGAAAGAGTTTAGAGGCGCACAATGCTCGCGTAGTTCGGCAAAAAGCGTCTAATCATCACGCGGCACGAAAAACCTTTCGATCTTTTTGAACGAGTGGTTTACGAATTTATGGATGATTGATGACGACGATAATTGCGAAGTGATTCGTTTGCATTTCTGCATGAATTCGTGCGACTTTTCTATTGCACAGAGGAAAAGTTATCTTTGGTTTTAATATATATATATTTGTTTGATTCGGGTCTGTTTAATATCAAACAACATAATTTTATATCAAATATTATTTTGTTTGAGTAAAAATATTGTTTTCACTAGAATACACTATTTATTGTTCGATAGAGAAAACAGTTTTATTTAGAGGAAATAATTTACTTTGAGGGTTTCAATAAAAAAAAAATATATCATTATATATTAAATATTATTTCACTGAAACAACAAATTCTTTAATATTTTTCTAATAATGTTATTTCTTTTAAATAAATTATTGCATGTGGCATTTTATTAAATCCAAAGAAATCTTTTCCTCTGTATGTAAATTGATGTTTTAATTCTTCCACGTACTAAATTATTAATTCTAATTTTTTCTGGACGGGGAACCAGTATACTAGTTCTCTTGTTGTATTTCAGAAACTACTAGCTCGATTTTCACAAAACTCGGTACATAGGAGTTTTTGATGATATTCTTTTCGAATCTGAAATCAAAAATTGGAAATTCAAAATGCCAGACCCAATATCGTCAAAATGGAAGGAAATATCAATATGGAAGAAAAACGCAAATATATTACTCTATTTTAATTGAACTTATAAGGTTTATAATTTATAAGAGTTTTCGATAGTATTCTTTTTGATTTTGAGGTCAGAAATAATATATACAAAAAAAACAAATTAAAAATGACTAACTTAAAATCGCGAAAAATAAAATTTAAAAAACTATCTGATCGTTAGGAAACTTGAACATATTTACATAATATATACAACATATTTACAGTCACAATTTACATTCACAATGTGTGAACAAATCACATAGTTCCTAATATTTTGGAGCATTCCTTTTTAGTAACGCACGAAACCACGTTGCGAATTGTGCATTTGAATCGTAATCTAGAGCGAATCCGATGGCTCAAACATACACTGAGAAAAATTTCTATTGGATAAACCGATTTGATTCCATAATTTCTGAAATAAAAAGCAGTGATAACTGTGATCAATATACTTGTTCTCTGCCTCTTTCATCCGCCATTTTGAATTTTGTAATTCTGAGATCAGATTCGGATTCAGCGATCTTAAAAATTCTTATAATGCAAGCATTTTCCATAACTGATCCCTTTAGCAACTTCCCGCCCTCAAAGGGTTAAAATCAAAAAGGAAATATTTTTTATGAGCAAAGAGAGAAAGAGAGAGAAACAGAGAGAGAGAGAGAGAGAGAGAGAGAGAGAGAGAGAGATCCTCTTTTCGTGCGTTTTACTCTCATATGAAATATTTCATTTTTAATTCCACGGAAAATATCACATATACACATATGAATGCTTTCATTTTCATCTCCGCCGTCGTTCAAAAGAACTTATTATTATCTCCGTCATCTTTTATCTGGCAAATTTTTGATATATATCCCGCATCATTATAAATCTCATTCGTACTAACACGAGAATGCGTACGCGTTGCAGCTGGCGCATCACACATCGGGGCTTCTTCGGCAAACTTGCGTAACTGATCGCCGATATCTCGGAGTAACTGAATCATGCAGTCGTTTTCTCTGCTAGTTAAATGAGATGTACCAGCGCGGGAAAGGGACGTGGAAAGTTAATTATGAGGCCGCGCGGTCGTTTATTAACGTAATTACCGTCTCATCGTTAACTTCCTGCGTAAAATACGATCGGCCGACACACAGAAGAAAGTACGGCAACCGTCGTTAATCACACCTTATCTCGCTGTGCCTGATGCGCGCTCGGAGGGTTTCATCAAGGTTAATGCATTCGCACTGATAAACTGCCGCGGCGCACGCCCGGGCGTACGCTATCGACTGCAAATATGGGAATGCGTCGCGGACGACTAATTTCGCGTTCGCTTTGGCGAGCGCGCGATCCACGCACGTACGCGTGCTTGCCAAGTGAAAAGTCCAATCCTCTCGGCCTCGAAACGTATTCGTGTGATTCGACGGATTCGTACGTGGCGATTCGCAAAATAGAGCAGCGCCAGCGACCGACCGGCGCGATGATTAATTTCCACGATGTTCACAAAGCGGAAACCGTAAATAAACTTTCCTCCCGTTGGCTGCTCTCTTCCTCACGCTCGCACGCTCCTACTCTCTCTCTCTCTCTCTTTCCTTCTCTCGCGCTCGCCCTCAACCTGCGACGGTTCGAACTTTTCGTGGCGAACTTTTAACTTGCGACGAGTATCGACCGCGCGAACATTTAATGTGCGTGTACAGTTTTCATGCGACGCTCTCTTACGAGACCCGGCTCGCTCGCTCGAAATAGAATGTTTCGCCAACGGGAAACGGTCATTCGTTATACATTAAATGCCCGCGCGATCAATATTTGATGAGCGTTAAAAGCTCACGCTAAAAAGTTCGAAGCGTCAGCGAGACTCGCGGTAGCGAATCGGATTTACATTTTCTATTCCGCAAACATTGCTCGCGCATCGGTCCGCCGTTTCCTACGTATCGCGCCCCGTTGTACGAACACATATTCGTTTTTGCGCGCTGAAAGTCGGATGATCCGTCAAAGTGGCATAAATCAAGCGCGGCGGATTTCGTTTGTAACGGGATCTAACTTGTTATCCTTGTTTCATTGTGCAGTCACGGTGCACGCTCGATGCGCGGAGAAGTTTTTCCACTTTTCGAGCGAGCGCTAATTGTTTTCATCGCGAAACACTCCTTTCTTCCGGACGATATTCGCGCGCGAATCCTGCGCGGATTGACGCGAGTACGCGAGCGAGAGTAATCGGCGCCGTGTTCCGTGCGTGCATCTAATGCGGGAACTGTGACTTGCATCACGTATCCGCGATAATATTATACCTTCGCCGTTGACACACTAACGTCTGTAGCTTGCGAAACGCTCTTAAAGGCATTGTACCGAGTATTTGCTTACTCCGCCGTATTGCTCTCGTTGAGCGTGTCCGCCTTCGGTATCGGATACCGTTGACGTCTTTCGTATCCTGTTGGGTAACAATACCGTTATCAGAGAAACATTTTACGGATATACTCGTGGAAAAATATTGTCTCGCGCTCATACGAAAAAAATCCCTCTTTTCCGGGCTGAAATTTCGGCCTTGCGTTCAACTTTTGACTTTACAACACGGCAAAAACTAAGATAGCAAAATAGGTTCAATCCTAATAATCAGTGATTGTAACCGGTATCAAAAATATCATTTTTACATCGGCATAGGTTGTTGAAGGTAGCGTTAAAATTCAATCTGTAGAATTAGAGGTTCAAAAGAGAAGTTGAAAAGTGTCGTCAAAGTAGGTTTTTATTCATTTATAGGGCGTCTAAGTAGGCACAAAAACTCCTTAAAAGCATCAGAGCAGCATTAAAATTCTGACTCCCGAGTCGAGGTTTTGATCCCATATTAAGTCTGTTTGGTTCTACATCATATCTTCGTTGGGTCTTCTATTGTGCTTCTTTGATGAGAAGTTATTTTTCCGTTTTCTCCGTTTAAAGACTCAGTGTAGGCTTATACGTAGGATCGAAATGTTGACTCGCGTTCTTTTTCGCTCTCTCGTAGCGACGTTTTCGTCTCCGGGCTCTGTGAGGACGGAACAGCGAAGTTCCGAATTTTTTCGAGGTTTCGGACTTTTCAGCTCGAAAAATCGCGGAACAAACATCGAATGAACACGGTCGCGCCAGTTTACTCCAAAAGAGCGACGCAGACAGCGAGCGCGGTTATTGCACGCTCGCATAAATTCGGCGCGTCGTCGCACGTGTGCTTCCTGCTTAAGCAGAATTTCCAAAATTATTGTTTCCTGCCGTACGCATGGCTGACTATATTACTCGAATATCAAACGCGGTTGCTTTCAGCAGGAGAAGGTGTTACGAGCGCCTTCGCCGTTACGTCGGATTGCTTGGCAGCGTTCTCGTCGCGTAATGTAATCGCGAATACACGAGGCTGCTAGCGGCAACGAAACTATCGATTCTTCCACGCGAACAATGGCGCTTTATCAGGAGCGAGTGAACGATAAAATGGGCGAAATTAATTTTTTACGGCTGCGAAAGCGAGTCGTCAAGCGGCGATAAGTCATCGCGCCTAATAGGCACTAAAGAGAGAGAGAGAGAGAGAGAGAGACGCAGCGAGAAGTACACCTGCGACATTTTTTCACGAGCATTATTAATAGATCATCTGTGTCAGCTTCGATGCCTCGAGATCCGCAACACACACGGGGAATTTTATAATTAGTTACTTACGATCGGTGTTCCTCTCCGAAAGAGGAGCACACCATCACGCGAGTTGCTTTCGATACCCCGCCGACTTGGACTTTTTATTTGAACGGGCTTCTAAAATAGCTGTAATCAAAGAGAACGCGGTACGCACGAAGCATGATACAGCACACCTTGTTTCTCGTCGAATAATTATCGACTGTCATACTGCTCGAACATTACTTCGATTTTCATTCTCTCTCCACTGTACGCTTGTCCGTCTCTTTCCCTCTCTCTTTCTCCCTTTCACGTACGTGCATGCAGCTGCAGTACCGGATACTGCGAGACTACCGCTCGGCCGACTTAGCAAAGGCTATGTACTTAGGTATCTCCGTCGCTTAATTCTACTTAGACAGCAGGCTCATACTCGCGTGTTCCTTCTGGATTAGGGAGGTTCTCCGTAATTGCAATACATCGTCGTAGTTGTCCCACGAAATGGGCTGTATCCCCGTTTCCGTAATCTCGCCGCAGACCCGCGAAATTGAAATTCTCACGAGCAAGTGGGGCTGTGTGCGGAAATTAAGAACGGCCGTCAATCCCTTTCTGAGATCGTTACGTGTTGTTTGGGAAAATTCTGCGTTCGGATTCGAGCGACGCGCGAAGTCGATAGTTCGTACTCTCGTTTTCGCGTCAAGTACAGTTTTCGACACGATGATCATCGGATTGAAAATCATTTTCGCGTTATATTCGATATCAGATGACCTACGCGCATTATACATTCGATCCTGAATATGATTCTGAAATGGAGCTGAGAATACATACCGAAATAAAGGAATTAATTGCAGTTATGTTAATTGGGATATCGATATTATTACACGGTAATATTAAACCTAATTTAACGTGAATGATATGGAGATTAAAAGCAACGTTAAACCGCAATTAAACGTTAATTGTTGCAATGTATATTGTGCAACGTGTATTGTGCGAGGTAACGTTTACTTTGTATTTGACCAAAGTGAATTATACTTTACATCATGTTTAATGTTTCACATTCACAGCGATAATGCATAGCTTAATCGAGAGATCACGAAGAACACACGTAATATTTTCATTTTCATTTGAACGAAGAATGATATTATGTGAAAGATTCCCTTGTTTACGAGTCGGTAGAAAATTTGTCGAAGAATTTATTATTATTTATATTTCATATGCAGAATATATACATGTAAAGAGAGAAATGATATATCGACATTATATTTCAGAATTCAGCACTTTTCTCTTTCTCTCTTTCGCAACTTTTTATTTTTCTTCCTCCGCCATCTTACATACGCAAATAGGAATCGCGTGTCGTTCGGCGGATAGATACGGACATTGCCTTTACAAAGGCCAGTGTAACTCGTTTGTAATACTGCGAGTGACACGAAATAGGAATGTCGAGGCGAAAGGAAAGACCATTGACAGGTCATCGTCACGTGTCGGGAAATTTGCTCTAAAGACCTTGCAGAAGGCAAATGAGAAAAGCTGAACTTACTTTTCAGTCAGTCACGTGAGATTTTCATTTTCCGTACACAGTAGCGTGAAATTTAATCGAATGTGATCACAGGAAAATGAAAAACATGAGTTTCATTCCAACATGAAGATCGATTCGACGCGTATTAATACGTAATTTACGACGGAGTCGAACTTGGAATGAGATACGGCGAAGCGAATGAAACAAGATTTTGCGATCCACAGCGAACTTAAACCTTTTAAATCTTGAAGTTATTTATGTAAACACATTATGTAAAACACCACGCTGTCACTCATGTAATAATACTAATAGAATCCTTATTAACATGAACATTCATGTTTGAAATTATCTAAAATCTGACGTAATATGTATATAATAATGTCGACGATGAGTCCTCATCCTTTTAAAAGTACTTCAGTATACGTGAGGCGATAATTTCCGATCATTGCGAATATCCTATATTCACTCATATAAAACAGATTACCAGACGGATCCACTGAGCTCCATGAAAAGAGATTCCGTACACAACGATGCGGGAAATATGTTATTGTTTGTGTTTTCGAAAGTGACATGCCAGGAGTAGGACGCTCCCCCATCGTCGTCGGGCGCGCGTCATTCCCGATGGCACGTAATACACCTTACCGGTTGCGGCAACGTATCGTCGACGGTAAGTTTCAATATGCCAACGTAAAAACGTATCGGTGATAGAACGGGTAGTCCGTATAAGCTGTGGAGGAGTGAAAAAGTATGCGATCGAGCGGAAAACCAATAATCGTCCCGAATCCCGCGCCGTAAATATTTTCATCCGCCGCTCTATCGATGTATGCCTTATGGCGTGCGTGCGCGCGGGAACACGTGCGGTATACGGCAATACGCGCCCTGTACACGCATAATGCGTACGGCCTGCATAATAATGCGCCTTCGCGCGACGCGTGTGTTGGAATATGCATCTCGCGCGTGTAACGTGCGCGCGCTTGGCTTTTACGTAATAATATATAGGACATCCGCTCGCCACCGGAAAATATTAACGTCGCATTCCGCGATGAAGAGGTATTACGATCGATCACTTTAGCAAAAAATTTGATTCGAGGTGCATTCCATTCAGATTAATAGTAATTTAAATTTGTAATAATATACCGGACCACTCTACCGATAAATATTAACATCGGATTT